ACACGCAGGGGGAGTGGGAGAGGGAGAAGCAGGCTTCCCGCCGAGCAGGGAGCCCGATGCGGGGCTCGATCCCAGGACCTGGAATCATGACCTGAGCCGAAGGCAGACGCTTAATGACTGAGCCACCCAGGCGCCCCCATAATAATAATTCTTAAAAGTGTGTATATATAAATCTGCCTGGCCAGCTCCGTCCCAGGGTCCTTGAAGCTATATGTCTACACCCCGTGCCAGGCTTTGAACACTCTTAGGATGGGACCTGGAAGAAATCAAATGAATCATAGGGATTCCTGGTGGAGTTTTAGCATTCCATATAAGGCAGGGGAAGAGGCAGTAGGGGTGTGGATGGGGCTAAGGGGTCTTGGTACTCTTCTTGTCAACCCCATACATCAGGGGCTACCTGCAGGCCCCACAGACTTCAGCTGGGGTCATGCCAGAGATGGGCCTTACACAGAGTGCCCTGTGCTTTACCTTACCCCAATCATCTATACCAGGGGCCCCAAGCTCCAAGAACCCCTTGGCTTGCCCATGTCCCAAATACTGAAACCCAGATTCAAGGCCAGAGGCACACAGAGGAGAAAATGAGTCTTCGAGGGTTTTTTTTGTGATGACATTCCCAGTTTCCATTTAGAAAGCTGAATATATTTTCTGGAGCTGAACTTTCACCATGAAAAATGCTCAGGGTTTTAATTTTTGCAATTAATTTTCTCTGCTAACCAAAAGGTGTTTCTGTTTTTGCTTTTGTGTTTGTTTTAAGAATCATGCGTGCTCACTCGAGGAAATTGGAAAATTTTTTAGGAATAAAAGAAAGGTCACCTCCCCCTCCCCAATTCCTAGAGAAATACATTGTAAAAATTTGCTATCTTTCCTGTTGACCTTTTTTTTTTTTTTCCTGTGCACAGAGTTATTTTGTTTAGTTTTCATTGTTGCTGAGCAAATAGAATGATGGTTCTGATTCATAATTTACAAAGCTGATTTCATGTATTTATAACAAGCCTGTGATGCTTCCAGCGGCTCTGCCCCCTCTGGGAATTGTGGGGGTGGGACCCGTTGCCCTCCCCTGTGTTCTGCTGGCACTTTTGACAAGCTAGGTTCACCGTGCCACTGCCAACATTAACCAGTATGCTTTTAAACTTATAGTTAGTTCGAGTGTCTCAATGTCCTTCTAGAACCTAACTCTTGCCTTCTTTTCTTTTTTAAGCTCCAGAGCTCTGGACATGTGCCCTTCTCGATGAACCCACAGTGATCGGTTTGTTTTGCCTTCTCCCAGCTCATGCATACTTCAGGTCTTGGTAACCAGAATGTTTTGTCTGTTCAGGCTCAAAGTGATCAGTGGGACAGGAACCCCCAAGTTCAGTGCCTCATGATGTGTCAAGATGAACTTAGGAAAACGGTGAGCTGTTGACTGGACTGCTTCTCAGAATCTGCTGGTACTTCTGTTTGTCTCTGGTTTTAAAAGCCCCCCAGAGGCAACCTGAAACCCAGGCTCTTCTCAGAATAGGGTGGGGGAAATTCCGAAGTTCTTATTAAACACATTTATCCCTCAAGCTTTGGAAGGAGCCAAAATGCCAAAAGCGAGAATCCCAAAGTACTGCCCACACTGGTGTGATATCCTGATAAATGTCTAACAAATCCAGCATGTGTCCCCTGGGCTTGAATATTTGCTGGGCAAAGTTCCAGAATAGTGAGACATCTTGGGATTCATCCGGGTTAGGAAAGACCTTTAACTATCAGCTGTCACCTCACTGTTCTTCAAATAGTCAAGTCTTGAGGTCTTTTCACTGTGCGCTGTTCTGATGGAGGGCCCCCACCAGCATGAAGCAGAAGGATGACCTTGTCCCATAGGCAGGACAACTGTGAAGGGAGCTGTGTGTGTCCAAGTCTGTGGGAAGAGAGAGCCACCTAGAATGTCCCCGCCAAACCAGTCACTGGAAGGCCTTCTCCAGGAGGCCTCCAACAGATCCCTGAATGCTACAGAAACCCCAGAGGCTTGGGGTCCAGGGACACTCCAGGCCCTCAAGATCTCTCTTGCTCTGCTCCTTTCCATCATCACAATGGCCACAGCCCTCTCCAACGCCTTTGTGCTCACCACCATCTTCCTCACCAGGAAGCTCCACACCCCAGCGAACTATCTCATCGGCTCCCTGGCCATGACGGACCTCTTAGTCTCCATCTTGGTCATGCCCATCAGCATTGTCTATACCACCACCCACACCTGGAGCTTTGGCCAAATCCTGTGTGACATCTGGCTGTCTTCTGACATCACATGCTGCACAGCCTCCATCCTCCATCTCTGTGTCATTGCTCTGGACAGGTACTGGGCCATCACAGATGCCCTGGAGTATAGTAAACGCCGCACAGCGGGCCGGGCGGCTGCCATGATTGCCACCGTCTGGGTCATCTCGATCTGCATCTCCATCCCGCCACTCTTCTGGCGGCAGGCCAAAGCTCACGAAGAGATGTCGGACTGCCTGGTGAACACGTCTCAGATCTCCTACACCATCTACTCCACCTGCGGGGCCTTCTACATCCCCTCTGTGCTGCTCATCATCCTCTATGGCCGCATCTACATGGCTGCCCGGAATCGCATCCTGAATCCGCCTTCGCTCTACGGGAAGCGCTTCACCACGGCCCACCTCATCACGGGCTCTGCGGGGTCCTCACTCTGCTCTCTCAGCCCCAGCCTCCATGAGGGGCACTCCCATACTGCCGGCTCCGCTCTCTTTTTCAGCCACGTGAAAATCAAGCTGGCCGATAGTGTCCTGGAGCGCAAGAGGATTTGCGCGGCTCGAGAAAGGAAAGCCACGAAAACGCTGGGGATCATCCTAGGGGCCTTTATCATCTGCTGGCTGCCCTTCTTTGTCGCCTCTCTGGTCCTCCCCATCTGCCGGGACTCCTGCTGGCTCCACCCAGCCCTCTTTGACTTCTTCACCTGGCTTGGCTATCTCAACTCCCTCATCAATCCAATAATATATACTGTGTTTAACGAAGAGTTTCGACAAGCGTTTCAGAAAGTTGTCCATTTTCGGAAAGCCTCCTAGTCTTATTTGCTGATGACTCTTGTTATCTGTTGTGTCCTGTAACCCAACTGGAATTGTCTTGTTTATTTTTCCTGAGATTTGGGTCAATCCTGATATGTTGGGTTTTGGTTCGACCAATAGAATTGTTCAGCGTTCTTCTTCCTGTTGTCTTCTTGACTTCTGTGCCACCCAAAGTGGGGCAGCTTTGTGAAGGGTGACAAGACCGAAGATTCCACTTAGCATATTTTCACGGCTCATCCATGTTGGGAGAAATGTGATCCACAGGATTCCCCGTTGATTCGGTTCAGACGGGAAGCTGTCCAACTCTACAGAGAGACCCTAGGTTCAAATGGGAGGCTTTCTGGTCTACGTAAGTTTTGTATGGAGCTCAGAGGAGGAGGGTACGTGAGGTTAATGACCTGAGCTGAAAGAGAATTGGAGTCAGGATGGAAGCTCTCCATTCCATGTGGCACCTTGATTAGAAAATAACACGCAGATCAACTACCCCCTACCCTTCCTCCTTCCCCGGTATCTCTGCATCACCTTAATATTCTGAAGTTAAAACCCACAATTACCCTCAATGACAGATTGACAGGCTTTGGACCCACCAAGCTTTGAGTGGGACACCATTCTGAATTTTGTTTCATGAACTATTTTTTTTTATATCCTGTTCTCATCAGAGATCTTAAGATGTTGAGTCTTGTCAAATAAAAAGCATGAGACGTCATGGTCAGTGAGGTCTTCGGGTAATGTCCCCCCGCTCCCTGGATGAACCTTTCAATCCACTTCAGTCTCCAGCATTTACTGAGCACCCACCACAGGCCTGGCGCTGGACCGGAGCCCTGGCATCTCGTCTCTCACTGGAGCCTTATGAAAGCCAGTCTTGTGATGGTTAAAGCTGAGCAATGATGCCTCAGTTCAAATTCAAGTACTACCAACTTCTAACTGGGTGGTCTGGGGCAAGTTTTTGAAGCCTTCTTTGCCTCACTCTCTTCAACTGTAAAATGGGGATAATGATAGGTATGTTATTGTATAAAAACAATAGCCACTGTTTATGGAGTGCCTACAATGTTCCTTGTGCACATTTTCTTGTTTGCTCTTCATCCCCATTTTATAGATGCAGTAGAGCAATGTTCCTATTGTTAGGGAAGATTTCATAAAGAGGGGACAGACTCCCAAAAGCTGAACCTTTGTGGGATGGGAGACTAAGGAAGGGGAGAGGGGATGAGGCCTCTTGGGGGAGATGGAGCGAAGCAAAGGAAGGTCATACCAGGTGGAACAAAGAGCAGGAACAAAGACTGGGAGGTCTGTAATGCTCATTGGGGTCTCTGGGCACAGAGAGAAGAATGATAGCGAGGAATCTGGGATATCAGGAATGGAAGGAAAAGAGGGATGCCAAAATGGGGGGTGGGCAGGGGCAGACAGAGAAGTCTTGTGTTGACCTTGAAGTTCCTGCTGGACATTTCACACTGTGCTCCCTGGGCCATCTGCATTAGATCCAGGGAGCTTGTTAACATTAGATTCCTGGTCCCCAACTCAGACCCATCAAATCAGACCTCTGGCAGTGAGGCCTGGGAGTCTGCATTTTAAATAAGCCTCTCTCTGACTTCTTGCAGTAGATGATTTCTATCTCTCTAAAGTTTGGGAACCTCTATGTTAGTGTCTTGCTCCCCCTGGGAGATCCCTCCCTGAGCCCAGAGACACCTCTCAGCATGCTCATTGCTCTCCCTTGCACCTGGCATGCCCTTTCCTAACTTCCTTTAAGGCTGTGCTCTCTTTCCCATCTCCTCTGTCTTAATTTTTTTTTAAAGATTTTATTTATTGGGGTGCCTGGGTGGCTCAGTTGGTTGGGTGACTGCCTTCAGCTCAGGTCATGATCCTGGAGTCCCAGGATCGAGTCCCGCATGGGGCTCCCTGCTCAGCGGGGAGTCTGCTTCTCCCTCTGACCCTCCCCCCTCTCATGTGCTCTCTCTCTATTTCATTCTCTCTCTCAAATAAATAAAGTCTTTAAAAAAATTTTATTTATTTATTTGACAGAGAGAGACACAGCGAGAAAGGGAACACAAGCAGGGGAGTGGGAGAGGGAGAAGCAGGCTTCCTCCTGAGCAGGGAGCCCGATGCGGGGCTCGATCTCAGGACCCTGGGATCATGACTTGAGCCGAAGGCAGATGCTTAATGACTGAGCCACCCAGGCGCCCCTCCTCCATCTTAATTTGGGCCATCTTCCTGATCTGGGAAACATTAGGAATTCAGAGACTGGACAGGGAAGTGTAGCTCAGTGGTTAACTCAGCGGACATAGGCTTTGAAGTCAGAAACAGCCAGAATTGAATTCTAGTTCTGCCATTTATCAGCTGTGTGACCTAGGGCAAGTCACCTATCCTCTTTGTGCTCCAATTTCTTCATCTGTTAAATGGGATTGTCAGTATCTAAGCCATAGGATTTTTGTGGGGATTCAATGAGGTGGTAATTATAAAACGCTTTGCATGTGTCTGGCACATAAGTGCTCAGTAAAATGTCATCTGTTACTGTTTGAGAGCTTTGAGCCAATTACAAAGGAAGCTCAAAAGTCACCTCCTCAGAGGCCTTCCTTGACCATCTAGAACAAAAGTCGATAAACCTCCTAAAAGATGGCTTTACAGGGACGCCAGGGTGGCTCCCTTCAGCTCAGGTCATGATCCCAGGGTCCTGGAATGGAGTCCTGCATTGGGCTCCTTGCTCAGTGGGAGCCTGCTTCTCCCTCTACCTACTGCTCCCCCTGCTTGTGTTCTCTCTCTGACAAATAAATAAAATCTTTAAAAAAAAAACAAAACATGGCTTTATTGAGACATAAGTCATGTACCAAATAATTCACCCACTGAAAGTATACAATTCAAAGCCTTTTAGTATATTCACAGAGTTGTGTAACCTTCACCACAATCAATTCATCACCCCAAAAAGAAATCCTGCACCCTTAGCCAACACTCCCCAGCCTCCCTGGCCCTAGGCATCACTAATCTATTGTCTGTCTCTATAGATTGCCTATTCTGTACATGTCACATGAATGGAATCATATAATCTGCTCTTTTGTGGCTGCCTTCTTTCATTTAGCCTAGTGTTTTCACAGCTCATCCATGTTATTTATTTTAGATTTTATTTATTTGAGAGAGAGAGAGCACAAACCAGGGGGGGCAGCAGGCAGAGGGAGAAGCAGACTCCCCACTGAGCAAGGAGCCCAGTGCGGGGCTCAATCCCAAGACTCTGGGATCATGACCTGAGCCGAAGGCAGATGCTTAACTATCTGAGCCACTCAGGTGCCCATCCACTTTTTTCCATTATAAATAATGCTGCTATGAACATTCTTGTACAAATTTTTGTGTGGACACATGTTTTTATTTCTCTTGGGCACACACCCGCGGATGGGATTTCTGGGTCATATGGTAACTCTATGTTTACCCTCTGAGGAACTGCCAGACTATTCTCCAAAATGGCTGCTCCATTTTACGTTCCGATTAGCAGTGCATGAGGGCTCCAATGTGTCCACATCCTCACTGGTATTTGTTTTTTGATGATAACCATTCTAGTGGGTGTGAAATGGTATCTCATTGGGAAGGCAAACTTTTTTTTAAGGGCCAGATAGTAAGTATTTTCATCTTTGTAGATTCTATCATCTCTGTTCCGATTACTCATCTCTGCCCTTGTGGCATGAACGCAACCATAGATAATATGTAAGTAAACGAGCTTTGCTGTATTCCAATAAAATTTTATTTACTAATATAGGTGCCAGCTCACAGGCGTGTAGCTGTAGACTCCTGATCTAAAAAAAAAAAAAAAAAAGCAAGCACCTCTCCCCGCATCTACCTAGTCATTCTCTATCCCCTTCTCTGGCTTTATTTTTTTATTGTACTTATTACTAATGATGGTGTGTACGTGTTAGTTTTGCTTCTTGTCTGCTTCCAGAGTGTCAGCTTCTTCAGGGTGGAGGTCTTACTTGTCATGTTCACTGTTTGATACCCCGTACACCAGAGTGCCTGGCACATAGTACATACTCAATAAATATTTGTTTGAATGAATGAATGAATTAATGGAACACCATTTCCAGGTTTACAAATGACTTCTTCTCAATGTCTTCATCTTTAAAATTTTAAGAGAAGGTGACAGGCCCTGGAGCTGGAACCTCACAAATCATGAGATCTGATGTCAGGTAGACCTAGGTCAGACTCAACAGTTCTGTTCTGAGTGTAGCTGATGCAAGAAGTGAGTGAGGGGGATGGGTGACCCCAGTGTCTCCATGGAGCCAGGGCTGGGCTGACCTCTTAGCCTGCACTCAGCCCGGCCCTTCTGTCCTTTTGTTCAGATGACCCCCTCCTCCCTAGTCTCTACAAACTGACAGTCAAAGGATAGACCAGCTTAGGAGAGAGACCAGATGTTTTCTGATCTTTGTTATTATTGCCTGAAAGCTGCCCTTTGGGGTATCATGCCTGGAGAACTGCACACTAATTAGGCCACATGAAGGTCAAATTAAAAATAAACTTGTTTCCCATGACCACAGAAGAAGCCTGTATTTGAGACCTTTCTCCTCCACGCCCCCCCTCCCCCAACACCCTTGTCATGCTCTTAATTCTTTCACACTTAGTCACAAACACACAGCGTGATAGTGGTGATGCTGGGGGAGAGCAGAGCCTTGGCTAGGAGGGGATTCAGCTCATTTCTGATTGAAGCAAGTGTAGTGGACACGGCAGGGTGCCCACCTAACAGCCAATCCTGCTTCCTTGCCCACAGAACCCCAGACCAGTTCCAAGGGCAACGCGCCCAGCCCCCCAGGAGGTGAATCCTCATTGGTTTAAACCAGTTGGTGGTATTTCCACGCCCTTTGCTAGGGATTGGTCAAGGGATAGACATGTGAACCAGCCCTGGCCAGTGGGATGCAAGTAGGGAGACCAACCAGACAGATATTTGCCCACGACTGAGGGGGTTCCCATAACCTGCAAAGTTCAGTATAAGCCAGAAAAGTACCAGGCAAACCAGAACAAGTTGGTCATGTGGAATATAAGGGGAAGCCGGCAGGGGGCTTTGGGAAAGATACTTCTTGCAGGAAAAGAGCAACAGGAAAGGAAAAAAAAGTTCTTCCTGCTTGGGAGAAGTCCCGTGAGGAGGGGAAGCTTGGGCCGCCTTGCTGTGATTCTGTAGGAAAACATCACGGACGCCCTGAGGATGGCGGAGGGCAAAGAACAAGCTCCAGTTCCTTGACCACATCACTGAGGCACTGGAGCACCCGGGAGCTACCTGTCTCCGATTTCTTGTTAACTGAGCAGTAATAATCCTTATGGTTGAAACCCAGTTAGCTGGATTCTTCTGTTACTTGCTGCTGAACACATCCCGACAGATACGGCAGGGTCTTCCTTTCTCTTGCTACCTTGCCCTTCCGTAGGCTGGATGGCAGCAAGCCTGTGCGCCAAGAGGCACTCTCGGGTTGGCACAGGCTTGACGCCTTGGGCAGGGAAGTAGAGACAGCCAGAGGATGTTCAGGGTGAGCCAGCAAGTGCGATAAACAGCTTATGTGCGTTGGCTGCTTTGAGAGGTGACCCAGGGACCCAGGGATTTCCAGTGTGGTGCAAGCGCTCCATGGGGCCCATGGGAACATGTGGCAGCAGAGGAAATGAAGGCTCAGAGAGGGTGATTCATCTAAGGCCACACCAGTTAGTTTGAATCTCCATCTGTCCCATCCAAAGTGCATGTTCTTTCTCTTC